GCTCGATAAATATTTTTGAGCTAACTCGTTTAATCATCAAATTAAGATTTTATATGTAAAAGTATGATCTGTTCCAGTATGCATTTTAAATTTTAATATCTTGATGAGTTACTTTAATAATATTGGTAAATTTAATAAGCTTATGATTTTTATAGTCTTATTTAACCTAAAATTATAAAAATACGTGATTTAGGTATTCAATCTTCGGGTTGGTGTAATCGCGCAATATATCTTTGTCAACAACTAACAGCAAATAAAAAGAAGCACGTATCCTGAATATTAAGAATACACATTGTTCATAGAATTGAACAGGTATGATTTAAAAATGTATTGCGGTTCAGTGTTTCCTTATTAAGTATTCCAATCTTGTTATTTGTCAATATCATTAAATTATTTTTTTCGTCTGTAGTAGGCTATATAAAGGCTTGTGCCCATTATGCATAATATGGTACAAGTTAATCCGGAACTGTAGCTTACATGTAACTTATAACTACATTATATTTACAACACGTATTTTAATTTATAAGACGATTTCAAGATAATAATATTTTCTACAGAAACTGATATTTTTAGTGAATTCCTGAAATAATTAATAATACTTATTCCTGTTATTACGACTGTAACAATTGACATTGTAATGCCATTTTATAACGTTGTTAAATATGTCTATATAAAATTCCTATATCACACATTTTTATATACCTAAGGAGTAAGGTTATTAAAATAATCAAAATAACAATTGATTATGACGAAATATAGATGATTGATGTCTACTACAGTTTAACAGTTGTTATAACTTATAACAAATAATCATAAATACAAAAAAATATATTATTATTATTTTTTTTAAATAGTTATTTCGTAATAATATTTTAACCTTCAATATTTTCAGTGTTAAAAATAGGGCGCACGGTATACTTCTATATAGTATATATTGTATTACATTGTTATATATGACGTGCGTGGGATTATCCAGAACAATAGATTGTGGCGTGCAAAGTTCTTAAGAAACAAAAATAATAGTTATTGCACACCGTTAAAACACTTAATTTAAATTATTTTCAGCATATGCCATCAATTTTTGTTGTTGAATTCGTTAGATAATTATTATAAAACGGATAACCTAAAAATATTCAGTGTATATTACATCCATAATGATGTACTCATAAATGACCATTAACATGTAGAATGTTTAATTTTTTAATTTTATTTTAGTGAAATAATGCGATATTTCTTTTTAATCATTGCGCATGCATTTAATAAGTATGTTTTAGGATGATATATATAGTACTTACGAGTAAAGTTTAATTACTTATATACGTGTATTTGGTACATAGCTGGTTAATCGGTATTTTAAGTTTATTTTCCTTTGTTACTACTTAAATTTAGCATCAAGAGCTTACGATGAACCATCTATCATATATCAGTAAATACTTAGTTGCATTTTTTGGGTATGGAACGCCAGCATTATCAGAAGTTAAAAGGCCTGTGTCCCGTGATTAATATTTACATGGTTTACGAATATACGTGTATAATACAATTTCATTGATGACATGGCTATTGAAACTTATGGGAGAGCTAAACCATCGAAAACCCCTTTTCTTAATGTCTGATTATGTGCAGGTCACAAACGACGATAATTATTTTACAGTTGTATCGTATATTATCTGTTTCCATATTTCTTGTAATCTATTATTGGGGATTGTAGAAATACTTTATTTAAAACAAAATGTTCGAATTTCACTCAACTCAAAAAAATTAATACTCGAATGGCTGCACTCGGATGGTATCTCGAAATGTAATTTCCACTTGAATTGCGTTCGCGTGATATTTAACCACTATACGAATTTTATCGCAACGTAAAAACGTTATTTTCCTTCCCAATTTATACAGATTATTTTTGTTTTTGTTAACTGATATAAAATGTTCAACTTGGTTAGATTGTTTAATATCTTATTACAACCATTTCCTGACATTCGTTAGTAAACAGATTTTATACAATAGTCAAAACGAGTATAGTTCGAACGTTATTTTTTTTCTGTTCCCGCAAGTACAATTTTATACAACAAAAAATAAGTGCAATTCAATATTATCCATATTATTGTGTTTACTTCGATTTCGGATCACTCATCCTGTTCACAATTTCCAGAAACTGTGGACTGTGGATCATATTATCTCAATTTACTGAAATCTCATATTCATTCTGGCCCAGTTATCAAGACAAAATAATAAATAATAATCTGATGTGGCACGATACAATAACTTAGTAACCGCAGGTTGCGTAGTATAAGAATCAAATATATACGTCGCTCGTCATGCAGTCCGTTGCTGCCGGCTAGGTGTGACCCGGGGATTTCTATTCCATAAAAACCGACCGATGATTTCAAACGATGCGTGTCGATGTTTCCTTGAGTGGCTGTTTGTTAGTAAGTGAATATTAATAATATATAATATACATTTGTGACCGCAAATAATGTACCATCGTTGTCCGTTGACATCAGAAAACCTTCCACATGCAAAAATTCGATTTTACAAGATATACAAGAAACGTCAAATAAAAAATGGTAATGATCTAAAGAAACAAAATTTTAATTTTTAATGATGTATCCATTATTATTATAAAAATAATTGGAATCAAAATTCAATATTAAATTTGTAAGAATATTGTACAAATTATCAATGTTTCGTCACATTTGGTAGATTTTATTAGCTTATGTTTTTTGTCGAGCTTATTAATGAGGTTTTTTGAATATCATATAAGACTATACCTATAAAGGGATTTTTGAATGAAAGTTAGTGTCATGTAATACATTTTTAATCATACTTAAGAAAGGCTTATTTCATAAGCAATTAACAATTTATATTTTATAGTACCTACGTATCGCATAGTAAGTTTTATTTATTATTTTTCTTGAATTTTACGTTAGAAATAGACGATTAAAGTTTATATAAGGCATTATAAAATCATATAAATTATTTTTTTCTGTATGTACGGACTCAAAGTCATAAATTTTTTCATTTCTACCGAATTATCGCGATTTAGTTGTACCGATCATGAACGTCATGTCCAACGATTCTGCGCTGTCGCCAAAATATAGGAGTGGATACCTAACGAAAAGCTTAGCATAGCTTACTGCAGATCGCAATGAATGTTTATTATGCCCTCGCACACTTCATCGTGCCGCCACATGGTTATTTTCATTTTCTACAGAAAATTACTTATTAAGGTTTATATTACATAAAAAAAGGGGTTTGTATTATACGTATTATGTTACTGTTAAAATCCAAAATCTATCGGAACAAGTTTTCAAAATCTCTTTTTATCAAAATTAAAATTAACCAGGACTCTCAACGTTGAAACTAGTTAATTGAAAATAATTAAATTATAAAATAAAACGGACAGATTCAATACAGACTGTTTGCAAGGAGTTTAATATAGGCAAATTTCTATGCATTTATATGTGAATGGTCACGTAGTTTGTGATTATTATTCATTAATCATTAGTGTATGTGTGCTATAGCAGCGGACAACCATAAGTAATATTTTAATAATTTTGAAGGGGTCAAAATAAAAAAAATCTCTAATTTAAGCATAGCCATGATTTTAAATCGTAAATATTATCATTTATAGTCAAGAGATCTAAAAAAAAAACAACTGGTTTCTTAACGTTAACGTCGTATGCATTGTATACCAATACACCATGGCGCTTGGGGAAAAGTACACCTTTAGTGGCCTAGTACCTTACTGTACAACTTTTTATTCAAAAACAAATAACCAATATAGTTTTAATTTTGAAACTCAATAGTAAAAAAAGTAAAACTATGGGCCGGTTTTAATGATGAATTTAAAGAATGGTCCGAATTAATCTCTTACTGCCCTTGAAACCAGAAGATGCGCACGCCTATGCATTTAAGCTAAATAAACGTGTAATGTTATTACGACATATTAATATTTATATGCTATTATTTATATATTAACTAATATTTGTTATAGTACTTATATTATAGTTAATTAAAATACATTTTAATAAGTATAGGAAAGAAAAAAATTTTTGAATTTATTATTAAATATTGATAAATAAAAACTGCATGTCTGTACATTTCTTCATTTCATTCAGTTTATCCTAATGTAGTTAAAAATGTATTTTATAGTGTCCAAATTATTAGGTAAAATATTATTGAAATATTTATTAAATCATAAGTTAATATTTTTCCAGGAGGGGCAAGTGCCTTGTCTTGTACCAGTCCCCCCCCCACATACACACACATTCACTCAATGAGCGCTCATGGCTGTAAAAAAGGTAAAAGAAAAATTGTGAGCCACTCCCTCGCATGATGCACTAATATTATGAAATAATATATTAAGTACCTATATTTAACCAATGACAATAATTTGTAACATTATTTAATTTAATTTGTTTGTCTAAAGAAATCAATCTTTTGGCCATTTTATTATTTAACTTAGTTATACTATGAAAATAATTTTCCTATATTTTTAAATAAATATTTTCAGTTCAATTTATTATATATTAAAAAAAAAAAAAATACAAAGAGTTCTAATTTGATAAATAAATTTTATGACAAGATATTTAAAGTTGTTTCCAGAAGGGTTATTTGATAACTACTATGGTGGGTACAATTGGTATGAGAATTATGAGATGAGTATAATTTGGTATAAAATATAATAGCAACCAAATCCTTTGAAAATTATAAAAGATATAAGCTGTAGATGAGCATTGTATAATTTTTACATATTAATTAGTGTTTTGATTTGCTATTAATTATTATAAGCAATGCATTTGAGGGTAACAATAAATCACTGTAATTGATAAAATAGTTCTGAATAAAACTATTTTCACAAAAACTGTAAAATTCGACAAAATGAAAGATGTTGTTACATTTCATTGCATTGCTTTTTAAAATGTTTTCTATAAATTACTGATGTCTGGTAATATAAGAAAATGGTACTCTTTATTATACAAATTAACATTTATGCTGAATAGTATTTCTGTTATACAATCAACTTATTTCAAATTAATAATATAATATTAATTTAGTAATATCTATTGTATTTATTAACTAAACATAAGTTGATGGTATGTTTATTTGAAGTTCACTATTTTTTAAACTAATTATTTAATCATGACATTTATAACAATTTGCTTTAAATAGATATTTACACTAAAGTGCCACAAAATTTAATTTTTATTTGGTGGTACCCAAGCTTGAATTTTTGGTGGCATTGTACTGTATGGTACATATTGTCGATTAGTACCAGTTTCATTTTCTGTATGTTTAGCCATCCACTTATGCTTAGGCCTGTTTGGATCCTGAAATATATATAAATAAAAATGAATTATATACATTCATAAGGAAAATGTACTCATACTAAAGATTATTAATTAATATTTTAGTTTTACTTATATTATATGAGAAAAATGGTTGTAATCAAAAAACTTTTTTTTAAAAAAAGGTTGACAATATTTTTATTTAATTATGAATGAATAATATACAGTTTTTTAAACAATAATATTAAGACAAAACATAAATAATAATGAAACAGTAATAAACATTAGACTTTATTAAAATATTATTTAAATGTAGGTCGTTATGGAATTGTTTAGAAACATTATGTTTAAAATTGAGGTATTTTTTTGAAAACTTGGAATAAGCACTGCCAAATTTAAGGGCTTTAGAAGCATAGTGTTATCTGAAATACGAAAACAAAATCACTCTTAAAGATGCGGTGTATCAATATGATCTTTCATTAGCCACTGTGTAAAATTGATACAAAATTTGAGTTTTTAGATTAAATAATTCACTAATAGACCTAAAATAATACAGTAAATACGCAATATTTAGACAGTGTCCTGCAAAGCTGAAAAAGTGATTTTGGACTTAATCAATCTGCCTCATGTTACTATTGGTGTGGAGAGATCACACTACTATATTAACTGAAACTTATTTTTGTGACTTTAAATTCAAATAAATTGGTATAAAGGAGTTAATACATTTTTTTATCATACCAAAATGGTATTATGAGTAATAACTTATAGCAATGAATGGTATTAGACAAATCACTGAGGTAAAAACAAATAATTAAAAATACTTTTTAACATTTATAATGGGTTCACACATTTTTAAAAAAAAATTTTTTTTAAGTATAATATTAAAAAAAAAAAAAAATGATCAAAGAAAACATAAATCATTTTCATCATTTAACCCATTATGTTAAAAAACTATATTTTTGAGAATTTAAGTTTGTAGTCATTTTTTTTACTAAATTTTACTTTATAGTTTATAATATTTTATTTTGGACTTTAAAATTGTTTTTAAATTATTAGGACCCCTTATAAACAAATCACTTGCAATTAAGTTTAATGTCATATAATTTATAATATTATAAAATCAATGATTATATTAAATTTATTTTTTTAAGTATTGTTTCTTAGACAATTTCAGTTATATCTAATGATGTATACTATGATTTTATTTTATGAGAATCTTTTATGGTATACCTAAAATTTGTTTTTTTTTTATTTATTATTAATTATTATTATTATTATTATTCATTAAACATATTTGATTATATCAATAATTTATAAAATTATAACCATTTTTATTTTTATAAACATAATATACAGTGTGTTCACCAATTTAGGAAGCATTAAATTTCTCAGTCAAATTATGTTGGAACAAATCAACATTTTTTTTTACAAGCTAATGATATATAAATACACAGTTACAGATACATTTAAAATATTTTATCATTTTTGTAAGCGCATACATAATAAAACATGTTTTTTTAACAACACTTATTTTGAACATTATATTCAGATAGGCCTAATTTTTCAAAATAATTTTGATGTATCAACTATGATTTTTAATTAAAAATTTACTAAATAAAAACCATTTCAATTTTAATAAATAATACATTTAAGTGCATAAAAAAATTTATAATTATTTATTATTGATTACTTTTTGAATAGTTTTACATATTTTTTCTTTTATGGGGACATTTGAAAACAATAGTCTACAAAGATCCACCAGTTTACCTAGAAAATTAAAAAAATAAAATTGTGGTTGTGTTAAATAACCTTACAGAAAATCAAATAATATAAATATATCCGTCTGAGAAATTTAGTGTTCCCTAAATTGGTGAACACGAGGTATATTATAAAAAAATTAAATAATATTATTTTAGAACAGTTTATTTTTACTATTTTAATTAAAGTAATTAATTATAATTATTAATTACATTATATGGAAGAAGGTCTGTTTTGTAATGGATCCAACCATACCATTCAGCAGGAATTTGACTAGCATCATAATCCAAAAATACTTTGTCATTATACTCTACCCAACGATTACGTCCTGTAAGATGTTAAATGAATTAAATAAAATGTCCACAAAAAAAAAAAAAATTATTAACTGATAGCCAATTACCATAAAAATATAAATTGTTTTCATAATAACGATTGCCCATTTCATCAGTACCAACTAATGTACCAATTTTCAATTCATCTTGTCTATAAAAAAAAAAAAGATTGAATTATTAATGATAACAAATTTAAATATTAAAAAAGACAATAAACTAAGCAATACAAAATATAATAGTATATATTTAAAAACTACAATAATTGTATTTTTCATCAATTTTTCTTTTCAAAATAATAACAAATGTTTTTCCAACATATTTTTATTGCAATTTAATATTAATTATAACTATTTCTTATAAAAGGTTAAGGCATTCTGTTTATTTATTAAATTATTACACGATATTCATAAGTCATTAAATTTATATATTGTGTTACTAAATACAGATTATAAGTTAATTAGTTTGTTAAAGGCATATTATAAGATAGGAGAAGAAATACTCAAGTGATGTTGATAGCTATGGTACAATAATAATTTTAAAAAAAAAAATACCTAAAATATAATATAAAACTATAGATGTATTTGAATAATAAATTAATAATATGGTAATAAAAGAAATCAGCAAACATATTTACAAACTATATTATAATGCATATTATTTGTATATGAATGGTTCCACAATAATATTCACAAAGTAAAACCTTACTACCTACTACTAGTAGGCTAAAGTACCTATGTGTGAATGTACATGAATTAGTTTTTGTTTGATAATAGAATAGGAAAAAAAAATAAATATTTGAAGAGCTATTTCCAATCTAAGCAATATTTATGATAGAAATATAATATATAAAAAATTAGTTTACGCACATCCATTATAATATTAATTTTAATTTATTAACACCTATACTACGTAGTTGGGTATCACTGTCCTATAACATAGACAGACATTGAACAACGTTGCTATATTACAGTGATAAACACAATATATTCATTCATTTTAAAACTAATACTGTTATATTTTAAAGATAATTTAAAAACAAATTTGCGTAGTTTGTTTGTAGATTATAAAATTCATTTAGAGAAAACAACCAAAAACGAAGCAGAAAATCCATATTGTTTTAAAGTAAAATACTTACCTGAACAATTTCTTAAAGGCGTTCAATGGTCCACCGTTGGCTTTGATAATATTCAAGCCGGTAACAAATTTATTAAAAGGAAAAATTTTGTTCATTTTGACAAAAATTAAACCATAAGCAAATTTAAAAAATAAATTATTGTCAATGGACTTGACTTTAAAAACTATTATCACGCGAGATGTTATCAATGTCAAGTAATCAGATGTTTATTATTTTTTTTACTTTTTAAAACATTATTATTTTAATGACTTTCCAGGTATAATGTTACGTTTTTTGTAAGTTAATATTAATTAATTTAATAATCAACTCGATTGTATTATGATAGTGATTAAACAACGTATTGAATATAAAGATTTTGATTAATTATTAATTATTTCATTTTACGTATATTATGTGTAGTTTAAACAGTTTTTGAAATTTCTGATAGATGGCGGTACTACTATGTAAACTGTTTAATTATATTAATTCAGGTAATACATATTTAAAATATTATATACCTATATAGACTTATTTCAAAATGTTATGGTTTAGAAAAAAGACATAATAAAATACATGATTTAATTAAGTAGTAAAATCGTTGACGATTTTAAACATTCAAACATGGTCACTCAATGTTTAAAAGCTAAGCAAGTATAACTTGGAGTGAAAAGTATTGTTCGATTTCAATGATTAGGCCTCTTCTAAAAATTGTTATAGAAAAGCATTTACAGCCTCACATAAGTGACGACGAAATTTCTGAATATTTTAAATATAGTATTGTAATAAAGGAATTAAAATAAAGTTTTAAGTTAGAATAGAATTCTTCCAGTGTCGTGTCTGCTAAAAAAATTGTATCGTTTCTCGATCCAAGATAGGTAAAAAAATTTAGAACATGAGACAGCAGATGCAAGAGAGAAAATTCGAATACGAATCAAGAGTTTGTAAGATGATATTAGTGAACATTAAAGCGACATGGAAATTCAAAAATTTGAGACAAAAAAACAACTCCGGTGCACTTGAATTTCAATAAGGCGATAAAGACAACTGTAATATAGTTGATTCTACAGCTCAATTTTAAAATTACTTGGCAAAACCACAATTAAGGTTTATTTTGATGCAATGGAATGGTTGAAGAAGCGTATAACGAAGTATCCATTAATGGCTGTTTTAGCTGTTAAGTATTTAGGGATACCAGAAACGTCAGTAAGATCTGAACGGTGTTTCTCGACCGTTGGAAACATTATTATATTTAGAAAAGTTGTTTGGCGCCCCAGACGGTGAATATGTTGATTTTCCTTTATCAAAACAGACAATAATTATTTTAAGAAGATCGAGGGTGATTCGTTGTTGGTTTATTATTCGTAACATTATAGGAATAGATACCAATATACAATTATATATTTGTATTATTATTGTTGTTACTATTTTATCATTATTTATTTGTATATACATTTTTGTTATTTTAATTATTATTTATCACGTTTTTAAAATTGTCTAGATTTATTTATTTAGACGTTATTATGACAAATGTATTTCGTGTATTTAATATCTAATATCTAAAAAAACAAAATATTGTGTAATATTATAATATAAAAATTTATTTATTTATAATTTATATTTTTCAAAAGGAATTTAAATTATTTAAGCATATATTATAATACATGTATATAAATTTTGTATTATTTATTGTAGTATAAATTATCAATTTTTTAGATACCTATATTCATTTACTTATGTTAAAATATACAATTAATATTAGTATTTGATCATTGTAAGCATTGAGATCAATGTATATCATTTGCACATGTCTACACACATCAATACTGTACTCGTCTTTCACTTAAAGCTTTTTAGACCTTAGTTATAACGTCTAATCAGTCGATTAGACATAATTTTTATTTGTTATATGGATGTAGGATGATCTCATTGATGACATATTAATAGGACGTTTCGATGTACATAAAGGTCATAAAAACACTTGCTCTTAAAGCGTTAAAATTTGAGTACAGTTACTGATGAAGTCCAGTTGTATGTTACATTATTTATATTACAGTATTTATATTATGATCATAAAGTCGTGTTATTTATCTACCCTACATTAAATACCTAAATAATTATTTTACCAACGTTTCAATTTCAACTAATTACTACTATGAGTTATTTATAAATAAAAAAAATAGAAAAATCACAATAGTTTCAATACAAGCATCTAGAACAGCGGTTCTCAAACTGTGGTACGCGTACCACTAGTGGTACGCGAAAGACTACATGATGGTACGCAGAACTGTGGAAGGCCGCATGGTGGTAGGATTTTTAATCATCAGTGGTACGCGACTGATTGATAATATACTTAAGTGGTACGCGAAATAAAAAGTTTGAGAACCGCTGATCTAGAAGATTCTAGAGAATAAAAAACACGGGTTATGTCGAGTATGCAGGTACACGGGTAATGTCAGTCATACGAGTAGTATTGGACTTAGTATGTATGTGTATTTTAATCACACAGTTTTTAAACCCGTTTTAGTTAAGAATATGACGTGTATCCACGTATAATGGGGAACACTGCTATCTACTCAATTTAAGATTTAAAAAAAGTAATATTTTGTAGAGCAGTTAGTGCACAGATTATATTGATGTGAAATAATTTGAGAGACTGTTGGTTAAAAAAATTATCATAAAATACATAAACATATTATACGTAACATACGTAATATTATTAGGTATAATCTAAATTTGTTACTATGTAAACAATTTTACTAATTGCAAAATGTGTATTTATTGCACTCAACAATAATTATTATATTTGTTAATTAATGTATTTTTAATAAAATATTTTCAAACTTCTCCAGTACTATATTCTTCTAGTCGGTAGTTGGTAATTTAGTAGCTACCACTACAATTTTTTTTTTTTTTTATATGTATGTAGATCATTTACTGTTATGCTTTGTTTTCTATTAATTTATTCTGAATAATTTTATAAACTGATACAAATTATAAAAAAAAGTGATTATAATGTATATTTTTCGCGTTTTTCGCACTTTATTGTTGAAAATGATATTCAAAAGTTATTTGAGAAGAAAAATCTATGCATTAGAAAAACTAAAAGGAAAAAAACCAAAGTATTCAATCTACGATCGGTTCATCAATGTTTTGCTTAAGTAATTACTTTTTATTATTTGTATTTTATTGAAAATACCACTGAATAAGTTGTTATCTATATGTTTAGTTTATTGTGGTGTATTTGGATGGAAAAATGGTTTGGTGTAAATAAAGAAAATAAGAGAATGATTAAATGGGCAAAAATCAAGAAAATTTTAGAAACTAATGGGACGTTTGCCAACTTTCTCTTAAAATCTTTGTTAGGATTTATGAGTAAATCGTTTAAATATACTTATAATTTTTTTAAATGTATATTATATTATTATAATTAATTTTATGAAATGTTTAATTTTAAATTTACTACTTAGTTTATTCTGGTCTGAATGCTATTATTCAAATAGATCGTACATTTTAGGTGGAATTTTATTGACTATGGTAATGTTTATGTTTTTGTTACTGCAATTAAATTATTCGTACACTAAGGCGACTATAATAAGTTCAACAATTGGAAGTGTACTAACGTTAGGATTGGCCTTTTCTCCGATTTGCAGGTGCATTTAGAACTTCAAAAATTCAGTTTCTAATATTTATAATAAATAATAAATATAAATCATCAATTTACTTTGGAATTAGCGATCAAATTGTTTTCTTATCTAATCCAACATTAAATATACAAAAAATTATAGTTATATTTTTTAATTGATTTAGGTGTATTTTTATGATGGTCTTGCCGCAATTATTTTCGGATAAGGGTCGACACGCGCTACTCATGTATGCGTTTATTTTATCGTTTTCTGGACCTTCTAAGACTACATTACACAACACTGGAGTCTTATCAGAATCGCTTACTTGTCTGCAGGTATAAATCGCTAGTACAAAAATAATTTTGATCAATAAAAATGTATTAATGTGTCCAGATTGACTGTTTTAGGATGAAATAAAATCGGCCATACGACAAATCGTTGAAATAATAAAAAAGCCATTACTGGCCGTTCGATCTTCTATAACACGCATAAAGGCAGACCTAGCTGTAATTATTAATAAAATGAAAAAAGGAATGTTGGCCGTCAAGAATACTGTGACCGAGTTAGGTGAGGATATTATTACTTGTTAATTTGGGTATTCGTACACACAAATAATGATAGTTTTGATACAAAAATGCTCTTATATTTTTTTTATAAGATTTAATGTTATCAAAATAGTATATCTAATTAAATTTGATAAAATTAGTAAAATACCTACCTGCAGAGGCTAAATTTAACTTAAGTGTTTTAAACCTAACATTCACGCGATAAAAATACACATTTTTTATAATATTTATATTTTTTCTTAAGTACGAACAATAAAGTCAGCGTATGAATGGCTGTACAGTGTAATGAACATTTGTAACAAAAAAGTTGGCACGCCATATCAGAGGTGCACTAAAATGTTTGACAATGCTTTGGAAGAGTGTAAGGTAAATAGTTATATATTTAGTGATTAAGAAAAATAATTTGTATATCGTATGACCACAGTAGTAATAATGAAAAATAACTAATACGAGTTTTACGCAGGTGACGGTGTCACCTACTTTCGATTGGATGTGTTCGATATCCTACGTAATTTCAAATGTATGCTACACGGTTAAGTTCTTGGATAGCCTTTGTGAATTTTTCGAATTGATAAACGAATCTATTTTCAGCGCAATTCAAAACAGTGAGCTTTGCACGACTTTAACATGAACACTGGTTTCTAATGTTTCTATACCACCACATTACCGCGCAATTATTATCCAAATTTCAAATACCTATTAAACTTTACGGTTTTCAGGCTTAAAGAGTTATGTACGGCACATGAAGAACATGTTTTATGTATCCATCGAATTTAAACATTCGTTTGCATTTGAGTCGACGCCGAACAAACTGAGTAGCGATATTATTCGCGGTATCGTTACCGAAATTAAATATAAGATCGAAAATATCGTAATGTTATTTGATTGGGCCGGGTCGATTTTTTCGTTTTTTTTCTTGTATGTATTTGTGAGGTAAGTATTTTTTTGTAAAATCGTTGGCCCTATAAAATATACACCATTTAAAATGTTATGGTCACAGGGTGTTGCGGTACAGACAGAAGTATTTAGCGGTTGATTCGTTTGATAACAAATATTTGACAAATGAGTTATACGAGTTAGATGAACGAAAACAGATCCTCGATCGACCAACTATTCTACCGCTAACTAGAGTTGAAAAAAATAAATTCATAGAAGTATCTACTAATTACTATAGTAATCAGTTTCTACTTTCTACATATTATACATTTATACGACATTTAACATAATCGTTATACCGTTACATAAAACAAAAAATGCTTAAAATATTGATTATATCAAAAATTACTACATTTACAATACAATATATAATTCAATATAAATGGCTATGTATTTTCGTAAGTGCTAATATCAAAGTGAAACACTTGGTATACGATTAATTTAAAACACTTAATTAATTCAACTATCAACTAGTTTATACTATCTATATTTAATTATAATCCTTTCTTTAATATTATGATTTTAGTAATTGGCAATAAAATAATAAAAATAACAAATATATTAAATTAGGGAATGGATTTATATGTACGTAGGTACTTACGTATTTTTATTAAAATAAGATATTTAAAGTTTAAAAAGCAATTTTCGTAATTCATATCATTCTTTTATTAAAGTGGCACTTTATTTTACATATTTTAAACATTTCAATAATTTCTAAATATTTTGAAACACATTTTAGTATTTTACCATTCATACGTTTTGAAATTATATCGCAGAGAACTAAAAATTCATATTTTATAAATAAATAAATTATATTTATATATTAATTTACAAAATTTTGTTTTTTAATTACGTAAAAATCCATTCCATAAATATAGTATTTAAAATTTCATAATACTCTTAATTTTATTATTTGAACAGCGAATATATTCTATTTTATGTTCTTTCTATAGTTCTATACTTCTTAAAAATGTGTATAACAGTAAAGTTGAAAGTTATATATCACTTATGATATTCTGCACTTAAAGTTTTAATTATATATATTATTTTTGTATTTATTCCATGATGTGTATTTTGCGAGTTCTCAGTTTTATTCGATATAATAGGTATATATATTAAAAAAAAAAAAAAACTTACCAATATCCTGTTTGACAAATTAATATTTGTATTGGTATACATTTGTTGAACGTACTAGTAATTTAATACAATATTTTTGTTGTCAACATTGTAAATTAGCGAACATCTGCTCATTTGATACTGAAAGAAAGAAAAGCGTTGTTCCGGTCATTGGCCATACTATTACTGGCAACTTTTAAGATTCTAATACAAATGGCAGTAGATTACAGTCTTTATTGGATATTGATCACTGTCAGAAAATATGGGCGACTGTCGACACAACTTGACCGTAAAAATAATAAAGCTGTTATATGAATTGCAAGTTATCAATTTTTTATATATATCATATACATTTCGTAGCGCCAAGAATGATCGATTTGAACATCGACGGCGACGGAATACTAGCAGATCTGTATAAAACTATAATTCAAACTTTTAAACCGGTGGCGAATGAAATGAATATGGATACAATGAGCTGTTTGCCGAATCCGTGGCCGCCAAATTATGATTGTTATAGGCGGATAAGTAATATATTATAATCATTTTAAAAATGAAAATCGATAAATTGTTTTCTGCACTATAATAGACTAAGAGCGTAAAATCAATAAAAACAAATATTTTAATACATTTATAGTATTAACTTCACACGAGTAACCGTTTTTTCGTTTTTTTTTCTTTCCATAATTTAAATTAGAATTATACTTATAATTACCTATGCAATGCTTTTATTCAAGCACATACACCGGTAAATGATTTAAATAAACACCTAAAGGCTAAACTATATCGATAGGCATGAAGATAGTTGGGGGTCATATAGTAGAATTTATTTTCGTTTTCTATAGTTTTTGTGTTAACTTTGACCTGGTTCCTGGCCATCATGCAACCGTATGGTTTGAGGTTTCGGTCTTATGTTATGGGATATTATCATCCAGACGTGGCTATGACAAGAGCAGTGTGGCTGCATAACCACATAATTCGTCGGAGAATCAATTTTGTCAAATTTGCAAGGCGATTTCTGCGCAGGAAATTCGGCCTGCGTGGTGAGGAAAATACTACGGACACTTCTTTTTTGGATTTAATATATTCTAAGTCAGTGTTTAAATTATATTCTAGTGTCGTACATTTAAAAAATATTATTCAATTAATAAAATTTCACAAAATATCATTATAATATAAATTTATGATTTTTGTTAATTGTGTTTCAATCTTCCACAATTTGTACATTTCATATAAATTTTGAAATAGAGAGTTTTAATAATTGATAAGTATTATATTATTTAACAGAACATATTCTTAAAGGTATCCATTCTTGGATCGTATCTGGAGTCGTCAAAAGCAAACGGTATGCCTTTTATGTGGATACAAAGCAAAGAAAATTGACTTAAAATCGGGTGAAATAGTGTCGTGTGATAATGGTAACTGCAAAGGTGTATACTGTTCAAAATGTTTCACGGATATTGATAATAAATGCACTCTGTGCAGCAATCCTATAAACTATGGAGACATAACAGACATTAGCGAAGAAAAGTATGCGTTTTAACTTTTAACTCATTATACCATGACACTGTTATAAATACAAAATAAATGTGTTCTCTTTGTAGAGATAGTTCTTCGGATGCAACGGAGACCAACGTAGTAAAAATATCAATTCACAAAAAACTAACAAAAAAGATTAGAAAACGAAAACATGCGCTTAAGTGGGTTAAAACAAAAGCGTCCTCAGTTTTTCGTAGAGTTAGCACTGACGAGGAAGGCAATGACGGCGATGAGAGTTAGTATAATAATATATTCAGATCTTGGGAATTTCTTAATGTATAATGAACATAATTCAAAAAAAGTTGATTAAATCAAAGTTAAATTTAATTAATTTTCTTTCGTGCATTTTGAACTAATGAATCAGCAAATTTTAACTCATTCGTTCTGAGGTCTGAATATTATATTGGTTGGTAGACTTAATAGGCATATAACTTATTAACTATTGTGTGGTTTTAATGTTAAGGTTCAATAAGTGAATGCTCAAACAGTACATGTAGCACAGTGTCGAACTCTTATGAAAACGATCCTAACTACGAAAATTCAGATTTGAATTACAGAACATTAATTGTAGAGAGTCAAGACGATATCAAACAAAAATTCGTCAATTAAATTTTAATTATATATATATATATATATATATATATATATATTGTATTGTTAGTGTTATAATTTTGTTAGTTGTACACTTGTACCATTGGTTTTATGGTTTATTATTATTTTTTTAAACATTATTATATGTTTTTCCAAAACGTTTAATTTAATCTTTTATTATTTTTATAATTATTACTTAAATAATTAAACTTGGTTAATAATTAATAATTAATTGACTAATATTTGGTGAATAACATAAATTTTTTATTGTACCCTCGTTCGGACCAAAGGAGTCATGAAGGTGTTCTAGTATGTCATAAATTTGGCAGGGCACTATTTGTGTGTACGATTTCCAATAATATATGTTTGTTGAATCTTGGACAGCCGTATTCTTGACATAACTCTTTTTTTATCTGGTAGACGTGTATAATATTTTATAATAATATTATAATAGATTATGATTTAATTTTGTTTCTGATGATCAACCAACATATTTAAACATAATATACTCCTATAATAATATATTAAAAGACGTGAGACTACGGAGTAAATACAATATAAATATTGTTTTATGTCTGTACTCATTTTTTATATGTAGTATTAAAATAATTATTTACTAATAATTATATGATACACAGTGTACTTGTATATTAGGTAATAGTTTCCTATAACAGTGATGTTGTGGAATTATTAAAATTATAAAGTGTTTGCGTTTTGCGATAAAATAATAAATCGACTATTTATTTTCCATAATAATATTATGAATGCTATTTATCTACTTGAGTTTTATAAATATATTCAAATATTAATAGTAACCATGAGATGCATATACCGTAACCGAGAAATAATAATGCTGGGTAAATTTCTTTGATTGATACACTGTCGAAGCGTATTACGCCCGAGTTTGCTGAAATACACTTTTGCTTTTGTGGCATTATCTTCTTGGTAATTCGATATTTTAAGCCGATTTCATTTTGTTGTATCATTCTAAAACAATAGTTATGTTATTGTAAATAAACAGTGTAACGTAAATGTGTATATTTTTTTAAAGCAATTTGATTCTATAAATCTATATATTTCACATAATACAGAAGGATTCATTAAACTAACTCACTTTATTTTTTCTAATAAAGCCATTATTCAGAATATGAGTTAAAGAATATTTAAATATACTTAAAAACATATTTTCAAATACTTGATGTTTTTTTGTACCACTTAAAGAGTGTCTTATGGAAATATAAACTTCTATTTGTCAAATGAAAATCTTGATTCTGTTGTAAATTATTAAGTGAATAATTTTTTTGTAAATATTATCGTATTTAAATAAAAATTGAAACTAGCACCTAATTTTTGAATTATTTAACTTTTTTCTCAGGATTATAGTTTCATGATAATAGAATTGGCAAAAATATAAGGACTATTGCAATTTGAAAGTAATTGGTATATTAATGTAAATATATAATTTGTAAAAATGGTCCAAGTAGAACAATTAATGCTAGGTCTGATATTATAATATATTATGTTTTTAAGAAATATTATGCTTAGTATAAACATTTTTATAACTTAAAAATTACTCGTTCAAATTTTAAATTAGGTACCGACATCAACATTTAAAAAAATATATACAATAAATAATCAACAATGCTAAAGTGCGATTCTCGCCTGAAAAACAAAAATTTGTTTCCTTACAAGACACTCTTTACGAAGTACAAAAATATTTCTAAAGTATTAAATAATGTTTAATTTATTTTAACTTTAAAAACATGAATTCACAAACTAAACTTAGTATTTGAATAGGTACATACTTTTGTTTAAATACGTCTTTGTATCCTGATTTTTTTACAACGTATAACGTAAGAAGTGGTATTTTATAAAGTTCCGTTTCAGATAAACTGCATTTTTCATGTTCTTGCCATGTCTTAGCTATTATATGATATGCCACAGTGATTTCCACCTAAAAATTATTCTTATATTACATGCACTATTTTTAATAAAATTTGTTAATATGTTGACAAAAATTATAATTATTTTGTTTTTGGAAGTGATAATAATTATTGATATTTTAAGTAAAAGAGTTGATTTAATTTTGTGATGTTGAGTACAATAAATATACTCTAGGAGTTATTATAAAAATGGAGAGTTGGATATGCTGATTTATTTAAAAGTATATTCAATCTGCAAAATTTAGATTCTAAAATAAACTAATAATAATACTGTGTTTTTGAAACAATGTGCTGTTTAGCATATTTTTTTAATAATGATTATTTAAAGAAACTTAATACAAAAAACATATTTTTATATGGGTTGACAATCAAAATACAAACAAATTTAGTTTGTTCCACTTCAACGACGTTTTATATTTTAAAAGGAGCAGGAACTATAAAATTACCAAATTCATATAAATTATAATATATATATAACAACAATAATAATAATGGCATCGGGAGATAAAGTTAAAACTATTAAGATAAAAGTTAATAAAACACAGAAATATTTTTTTTAAATGTTTCCGAATTAAGTTTAAAGATAGATAAAATAAACAATTCAACAATATATTTAAGAAATGGTTATTTTTAAATTTCGGAACTAAAAAATTTACATTGATCTTCCAAGAAATTAGATGAAATTATCCGGCACATAAACGAAGAATTATTGGAAACCAGTTACTAATCATCATAATTGGAACATTTATAGACTGTATTTAATAGAGGTTGTTGTAAGTTATTCATAAAACCATTAGTAAGATAAAATAATATTGTAAAGGAGAAAGTCAAAAAATACATTAATGGTGAAGACTTCGCGATGATCAGCACAATCATAAGGGAATTCTCGCAATCACCGCAAATCACACTCAGACCGAACCCTCTTATTCATTATAAATTACCTGTTTTGTATATAATTATCAATATACAGTATATTTATATATTTATACATACCAAAAATCAAGCAAGTTAGTTAAATTAGATAATCCAGAACTCTAGTGTTAATATTACATTTACATACCGAGGTCGAGTCTTTGAGACCTTGTAAATATAAATATAAACTTTGCAATAGAGAACACGTCAAATGACACTACGGGTGAAGAGTAGTTTACAGTAAGAAACCACACTATAACTCACCAAATAAGAATGAAATTCATTTCGAACCCGTTCTACGCCTATCTCTGGACTAGTAAACGCTTTTGTGCCTTGTGGTTTCAACTTTTCGAGATAGATTTTCTTAATATTTGCATCGGTCGTTTCCTGTAATGAAATACGTGTAATCGTGTATATTGTATTGATTTAAGTGAGCGCATTTATAATTTAAATCGAAAACATAAATTTTAATTTTAATCACTAATATTATTGAATTTGCGTTTAATTTTAAGCAGTGTAGTGTTTTGTGGATTTATTCGTCGTCATACATAATATATTACATGACGTATGATCTGCAATCTGCATGGAGAGTATTAAAAAAAAAATAAAAATAAAAAATATTATAATTTTTTAAAGAAACCTTGTTATCTGATCAAACGAAGGGTTTGAGATATCCTGTGTAAGTAACCAAGTAAAAACATTAATTATTAGTAGTTTAAAAGTACTTAACCCCATCTATGTCGAATAAACTTAAATATAAAATAAGCGAATTTTATATTGCCATAGAAAATGTGTGTGGAGAATGTTAAATATTGATGTGCGTCAGAGGCCGAGGCTTTCGTTGCAACTGAAGTATTTAATTATTTATCGTTTTTAATATAAATAGTACTTTATAGTCTTCACGTATAATAAAAGCATGCTTTATATTATATAAGTGACGACACGGTTATAATAATCGATAGGTAATGTATTATTTTTTGTACATTGAAATATATGTAATTATGTCTTGTGTCTTGTGCACTGAACGTAATCGGTTTGTCTGCCAAGTCAACGATAGTGTTGATCGTCTTACTAGCTGACTGTAGCAAAACTACAATGCAAGCAGCATACGAGGTGAATAAAAACACCGCGCAAAGGAAGAGAGTGAATGTGGCAATTCGCGCCGGTATTGAGTAGTGGGCAGCCGCTAATAACAGACCTGTGAACAGATGAGTGTTATAGTTTGTAGGTCAAATAATAAAAAAAAAGAGGACTAATGATATATTTTTTTTTACTCTGGATATAACGTTTTATACTATTATTGAGTTATCTGTGTGATCTTTATTATGTTGTGTCTATATTATATATTATAATACTTTTTAGCTATTATTTTATCGAGTATTCTTACACGTTAATATATAAAAGAATACCGTAAAAATGGATCTACTATTAGTAGGTAGTTTGTACTTGAGATACCCAATTCACAATGGCTTGTGATATTATGATTCCGTTTTAAAAAAAAAAAAAAACCATGATAATTAAACGATATCCAAAACTCGATAGTAATCATTTATTATTAGTATTGCTATTGTTAAGTACCTATTAATTAGTTTTAAAACATTTAAGATAATTACTATCGCATTTTACTTACATATTTTTATGTTGTTGGTTTGTTTTTTGATACGATAACATGATTGATTTTTAAATGACAACATTTTATTAAATAAAACCATTAATTATTATCGATATATTTAAACTATTTAAAAGGTTTTTAAATTTATTCATTTGATATTTTTGATATTGAATATTGATACATAAAATTAAAAGTTTATAGCTATAAGAAAATATTGGAAAAAGTATAAATGATTTTACGGAAACTTGCGAAGCATCAATTGTTAAAATAATATTGCCTAGTGTATTATTATTATTATGGATCAGTGAATCACGTATAGACTTTTTTATAGTTACCTTGTTGACAAATAGCGGCAAAGACTAAGGTGATTGAATCTAGTGCGATCGAGATTTTCATTTTTGCACCTTGTAACCAATTGGATGTCCATGTGAAAAATATCAGAGCAACGGTAAATACTGACATAATGACAAACATCACTATCCAGACATTAGGCATGAATGGCAGAGTGAAAATGTTGTTGACACTGGATAGAGGAGGTTGTTTATAAATAGCAACAGTTCTGTTGACATACAATTAACTGCATTGTTTTTTTCGCAAATAGAAATAAAGGTATATTTTCACATGTACAGGGAAAGTCCGAGCTGTAACTTGGACGAATTTTTATTTTTATTAAAAGTGTATATCTAATCTGAACATATAAAAATCAGTTTTAGTGTAACTATGATTTTTTTCTGGGGTGAGGGTAATTTATATATTAAGAATATGCTATTTAATTGCTAATACAAAATGATAAAAAGTCGTGCAAAATTAAATTGTTTAACTAATATCACATTTTTCGCACTAGATTTGAAGGTAGAAATAAAAATGTTATATACCATTTATTTATTTAATATATTATATACTAGCTGACTCCTTACGGCGTTTTCCGTGATAAATTAAATAATGCCAGTAGATTTACACTATTTTAAAACTATGTAAAAACTACAAGTAAATGAGTAATGCCTATTACAGAGTATGTATAATGTGTTTCAAAAAAATAATATAATCAAGAAATAACGTTTTTTATTTTTACCCCTTTTTACATCTTTTAATCTCCTTTGGGGATGGATTTCTTAAAATTATTTCTTAGTGGGTTACTACATTAAACAATGAAATTCTAATAAATCAGTAAATCGAGAGACGTAATTTTATGTTAGTTTATTTGTATTTTTATACAAATTTATAAAATTTATTTAGTTCAATTAATAATAATTTTAAATGTTTAAAATATTTAGTTTTATATAGTTTATAATATAGTAAATAAACAATAGTGGATAAATATCATATACCACTATTGCAAAAAGCAATATTTTACTTTCTATAAATATATTGATTACTATTATATTTTCAATCATTACCGAGCTATGAATGTTCCGACTGTCAAATCACCAACGTCCATTCGATCTGATCTCATCAGACCACCGGCAGCTGTAAAGTCAATTTCTTCTCTTTGCAGTTTTCCTATTAAGCCGCTATACGTCCCGTTACCATAATTCCATCCATAATCGGAAGACAAGCTTAAGTTTAACCTTTAAACACAAACAAACGATAATATTTATGGTTTTCAGACGATAATTTTAAACAAATATTATACTAACGTGAAGTTCAATTGTTCCGCTAATACTATACAAATTGCATAATGCATATGAGCAAATGAATCTAAATTGTGAGTAAGTAAAGGTTTATCCCAACCATGAAAACTGTTTGGTTCTAAAATCTAATAAATACGAACATTAGAAAAGCATATTTTTTATTGATTTTAATTCGGTAGAGTCGGTAATTGTAAAATAATGATATAATTATTCGACCACTGTTGTTATCTAAATCATTCATACTACGATTTATGTAATATCTAAATTATATTATTATAATGTTTATTAATGTGTATTAACTGTGTAATATAATCGCATATTCGCATACAATAAAATTATACTTATATGTACTTGTAAAGACATTTAAGCTACGAATTAGATAATAATAAATTATGTTAAGTTTGTAGTTGTATAATATTTAATTGATTAAAATATTTTACATAAAACTTACTACCGTAGACGCCGAAAGAACGACACGCTTAAAATTCGTCCGATCGGAGAGTTTAATTTTCACTCGTTCCGGTGTCACTACACCAACTCGGGACACTTGAACTTCTTTGGCAACACTCAACCGAAAACCATCCCATATTTCCCAGACATTTCTATCGACCTCTATTAATAGATACACCCTAGAGTCAGGCATCACGTAAGCTTGATTCATATGCGTTCTGAATGAGTGTAAAGCAATTTCTAAGGCATCTGTTTTATTTGGATTTCTATAACGATTAAAAAGTACCCAATCGTTTTGAAGGTTGAATAGTCGTTTATTTGATGCCTATATAATATTTATATCATGAAACATTACTGTATTATTCACAATATCACATACCTAATATATTTTGTTTAAATAATTGAATATTTATTTCATTATATTAATATTATTTTATTTCACCAGCTTAAAACTATAATCAAGTGCTAAATATTCATAAGGTATGTTTATACTGTATTGACGTATTGATTAATTAAAATGTAAATCTGATTTTATAACTGTTAAAAAATAATAATTGTTATACAAGTTAAACCTGCTGAAGTACATCAGAAGCTTGATCACATGACAAGTCAACTAATATTCCAGATTTAAACCATGTTTTTTGCGTTTGATTTACAATCGTTTGTATATTTTTTAAATTAAAATTTATCGATATATCTTCATTTGAAAGTTTTGTAAAAAATTCACTGTTTATTCCTATATCAGATACAAAAACAAAAATTGTTATTAATAAATCAAAATATATTTCAATATTGATAGGTAAATGTATTGGTATGGTTTAGTAATATTACATAATTTTGACGTAGATTCATGGTAATCATAAGTGATTTATATGTTATTCTATTATTGAATACAACGTAAAAATTAATTAGTGTATTATTTTAATTATATTTTTTATTTAAACATACTTAAATCATTGTTTCTGGACGGTGTCTATTTAATATATTAATAATTGTAACTAACGTGTAAGGATTGATCATAAATATACGGTATTGTTAGTCAATATATTTTCATGAATTTTATAATATAAAATATATTACAGTTATAAAAGTTATAATAAATTGTTTTAAATATCCTATAACTGATATATTATATAATATAATATATTTTAGGTAATACAAATATAGTTATTTATACAGCGTTTTATCTAAAGTTGTATAGACAGCTTAATAAATTATAACTTAACGTAGTTGATTTATTAATGATATAAAATAATTATTGTATATTATAAAGTGGCCTTACTTGTGTCCCAACATGTGGTAGTCCACACTGTATGTACGTTCATTTTCTTAAACACATTTATTAAGCTATTAAATAAATTACTGTAATTATTATTGTTACAATTAATGACACCAAATATTGTAAAGAATAAACAAAATTGCCACAAAATAAACATTTTTATTAGTTGATGATATAAAAATGTATAAGTGGTGTACAAAAGTTCTACTTATAAATAAAGAACGAATATTAAATATTTGAATATTTATATAGGTGATTGCGTGGTAAATACAACAGAATTCGAGATTTGTTTGATTGCCCTTTCTTAAATATTAAATGCGTTTGAATAGCAAATACCAATTTCGCAAATAGTAAAATGAAAGAGAATAATATTATGAATATAATTTATTTTAAAAATAATAGTTAATATTGTATTATTCAACAATATACATAATTAAATAAAATTACTTTAAATTGAAATAGGTTTTCAATTGCATGCGATAGTAAAAATGAATTCATATAACAGAATATATATTAATATATATATATGAGTAAGGTAGTTTGTTAAATTGATAATTGTGTACATTTTAAATCACTTAATTTTTATTTTAAAAATGTTAATAGATATTTTTTGAAAATAATTTTTAAAAGCCATACTTTTATTGCATGTTGTAGAGTAATTTAAGTATACTTTACCTAGTTATTTTAATGATAGAAAATTTATTTATTTTAGTTAATTTTAAGTTTTAACTATAGATTTGTATGATATTTCCAATATCTATTTTAAAAAAATCCATGTATTATTTGATATAGAAATGTGAATCAAAAGTTTTAACAAAAACTATGCATTTTAAATATAATTTTTGTTTACTCTATAAGAGTTTTTTAGTAGGTATTTGTAATTATAATGCAGTTGAAATTTAATTAAATTAAATTGTACTTAGATATTCAAATATTAAGTAATTCAGAAATCAGTTTTTTTAGACTTGTAGTGATAATGAAGATAATAATTATGTAGATAAAAATGAAAACAGAAATGAAGATAAAAAGTAATTAATATTGAATTCTTCTTAGACCACCGAAATTTTTTGTGATTTCTTATTTTTAAAGGTATATATGTAATAGTATTAGGGTTAAAACTAATAATTATGGTAATAATATTACTAATAATTATTAACAAAAATGATGTACATTATGTTGTTACATTTTTCAATAATATAATATTCTAAACTCAAATAATCAATAGAAAATAATAAAAGTAAGTATCAAATCTATTGTTGTTGATCTAAAACATTTTGGCCCATCAATATCGATACAATATTTACATCTAATATTTAATATGAATCCAATATCATTTATTTATTTAACAAGGTAAAACAGTAGTACTAACTAAAAAATGAATAATAAAAAAAGCTCTCATCTTATCATACACGTCTTAAAATAAGACTTTGTCATGTTCATCTAATACATCTTTTTTACTAAAAGGTAAAAATAAAAAAATCTAACTTTAAGTATTTATGAGTTTTTATCAAAATGTTATGTATTATGTATTATTTTAACGTAAGTAACATGTATAGCAACATTATATTTGGCTGTAATTGTCTAGTTGGAATTAATATTTAAAAAAATCAATAATTTAGTTATTTTATATATGACACAAGTTATATGTCTTTGCTTATTTATTACTAAATATTGTAAATAATAAGTTAGGTACATATCATTTATACTCGTATTTTATTGTATTATATGTATTATATTTCGTAGTTATAATATTATATAATATATTTGTCAACATTTATATAAAAGCGCATATAGAAAAAAATAGTTTATAATACGGAATTCGATGATATAATATAGATTATGTCTTATATAATTTAATAAGATATGGTTCGTACTTTTCAACAAAATTTTTATAAAAATAATTTTTGAAAATCAAAATAATGTGCATATGAATAATGATTTATTAACTTACCAACTACAAGATTTCCGAAGCAGGTTGTCAAAGATTTATTTTATATTTGTTTAATATGTACACAAATATAAATCATGAAAAAAATATGTGTAATATTTAAATTGTTTGTTTAACGTCGAATATCCAAAAATTTCCAAGTATAGGATATCATGGGTCAAACTATCTCTATAGTGTAATTTTACACTATATTACTTAATGTATTAACTTCTTTAAAAAAAAAAAAGCATATTTATGAAATAATATTTTTACGATTTTTAAAAGGTTAAATGGTACAAGGAAATTTAAATAGAACATTTTTTATTTTTTATTTAATCCTTACTAATATAACATAAAATAAACACAAATCAAATTGTTCATATTAATACCTAGTGTATAATACATGTTTTGTAATTCAAGAACTTTCAAAATTAAATTTACTGATAAAACTGTAACATTCATTACAAAGTTATTATTAAATATCATTTTAGACATTGTGACTATTTTCCATGTAATCAGCATAATTAAAGTCGATTAATAAGTATTAATCTTAAATTGTTTTTCTAAAAGCACTTTACATTTTAATTTTATAAAGTGTTATACTTAATTTTTTTAAATTTAACATCAACATTAAAATTAAAAAATATATAGAATATTTGTATAGTATATTAAATATTTTATGCAATACAATTGTATTGAACTATCATACTTGTATCACTTTTATTAGAATATTTATTTAAACTATTTAAGCAATATGCATACATAAAAATAAAATATCTCGAGTATTAATTATTTTTGCATTTAATATCATTGTTACAAATAAAAAATTATAATATGTACTAGTATAAAATATATCACTGTGGTATATTTTAAAAGATAATTTTGATAGAAAAACAAATGAAACTACATTTTAAAAATAATTTTAGTTTTATTTTTTATGATAAGCATAGTCATAATATAATTAAATATTTTAAATATAGGATTTAAACCATTAGGTTGTTACCATTTGATATTCGAGCGCTTACTTTGACCAATTTTTTTGGATCTGCGATTCGTCCAGATGAAATATACTATTTCTAGTAAAAAAATCACCAATGAAATGCAAATACCGTATCCAAATATTGCAAGTGTTAGATATGTTTCTTTAACGGAAACGCTAACGTATTGTTTTGCTCTACTGGATGATCCACAGGATGGTTTCGGTGGTATCCACTGGCTAGAGATTCGTTTACTCAATCCGACTTCCATTTGATGTATTAGTCTGAGCGTAGACAAATTTTATGAAAAATTATACAACTATAATAATAAAATCAACAATAATGGTTTTTTTTATACATACTTTTGTTTAAATATGTCTTTGTGTCCAGACTTTTTGACTAAAGGTATTGACAAAATTGGTATCTTAAAAAGTTGAATCTCTCCCAAGCCACATTTCTCCTCTTCGCGCCACTCTTTACTGATTATTTTGTAAGCTGACATAACTTCTACCTATAGAGTAATACATATACATTTTATTTTTACTATTTCAAAATTAAGTGCAGATCACCAGAAATCCGTGAAACTCCGTTCGAATTCTTTCCATCCCTTCTGTTGCTCTTACAAAAGCTTTATTTCCATAAGGTACCATTTTTGTTTTATAAAGCTTCTTTAAATCAGAATCCTCTGTTTCCTGGAAAATATTTTTTATTTCAAAAGTTCATATAATTTTATCGTATTTATTGTTCTAAAAGTATTAAAATTTGAAAAGTTATTGACTATAGTTCGTATATTACATATGTGGCCAACTATTGTGGCTCGTGAACCACATGTGGCTCTCGTCATTGCCAAATGCGGCTTGCGTCTGATTTATTAAGTCTAAATTTACTTAATATTATTATGGATTTTAATTTTTCAGGTATTAGCTTATAAAAATTATCAAATCATATAAAATTTGTCTATAAACATTTTGGTGCATGAGTTTTGGTATCATTTTATTTACCTATGTGGTCCGCGAACCTATTCATGATGACCACTCCTGGTATATTATGAACTATGATAAATGTATATTATTTAAGATAATAGTATGTTATTATAATCTATACTAACTTCAAAATAATGTTTTCCGTATGGACTAATTTGTCCACTAAATGTCATTGACGATTCTGCTATATTTTTAATAGACTTGATTGAATTACTGTTTGATTGTACCAGTGCAGCAATACTTGCAGAATAAGAAGTATACATGAAAAGCGACGTAAAAAATATTACGAAGATAACAACACGTATAGATACCAAGGTTAAAGTTGAATTAAATCCTAAAAATATGATCATATTATAATGAGTTTGAATTTTTCGATTAAATGATAAGTAAACCTGTCTACTGACTAGCTAGATAAGTTAAATTATTTAAAATTAAAATTTAATTTATTGTATATTATTGATGTACTATTAATATATTATTGGATAATGGATTTACTATGAATATTTTTCATTTAAAGCATGTTTTTATACGCATGAAAAGATGAGTTTTAGTAAATTTATATATTTTTACCAATTATTCAGTAAATTATTAAATGAAAAATTACAGTATGTATAATTATGTTTTAAGAAATATTATCAATTGGAACTTCTTCCATCGAGTGATTCGCTGTCATATTTATAGTATCTTATTTAATTGTTACATATTATTATTAAAATATATATGAATAAGTATGTAGATAATATAATTTAAAATAGTATTACGTTTAATAAACAATGTTTGGTAAACGCATATAATCAGTGTTGAGAACAGATAATTAAAATTTAATTTAGAAGATAATTGTTGATACATGTATCTAGAATCTAGATACAGATAATATTAAATACATTTGACTTTTATATAGTTGATAATGTAAATATAATTAATTTTATTAGATTTAAATTTTATGTTTCGATAAGTGATGAAAAAAATATTTTAAAAAGTCAGTCAACCAACATTGTTGTTTTTAGTATACTTCGCTATTGAGTAGATCGCTGTTATGTGAATTTGTATTTAACAATACATTAATAGTTGTATACAATGAAAAACGATTTTGAACAAAACAAGTCCGTCAATCTATATTTCTAAGGACATTAATTGACTATACATTTTTATGTTATTAGTAATTTATTTTTCTATAAGCAATACGGTAAGTTGAACTTTTTTTTAAAAAACAAACTATTATCTAATATAACTATTAGATAACTGGCACAATAGTTATCTAAATAAAGTAAAAGATAATAATTTTATGTCTTAAATAAGTTGTATCATTGCATTTGAATTAATTTACCTTGTTGACATAAAGCACCGTGGACCAAGGTTACTATTTCTTGAACATTTAATGAACTATATTTTTGTTTTTCGAAGTAGTTATTCACACGAATTAAAAACATCAAAGTGAATACAAATACACAAAACGTTGCACATACACTTATCCACACATCAAATGTGAATGGTAATAACAAAATATTATGTACACTAGACAATGAAGGCTGCCTAAACATTGCTGTGGTCCTGTTTAAAAGAAATAAATTTAATTTTTAGTCGAGTTTCAATAATTTTGTAAATTTAAATGTGATTTGTGATTTACTGTAATGCAACTGTGCCAACTGTAAAATCAATTACTGGCATTCTATCTGGCCGCATAAGAACACCGGCTGCACTAAAATCAATTGCTTCTTTTTGTAAGAGACCGATTAAACCACTGAACGAACCATTACCCAGAGACCATCCGTAATCATTGACAATGGTAAGTTCTATTCTTTAACATTTTTTTTTAAAATATTTTTTGTTGTAATCAGAATATATAACTATTATTTTATTTTTTATGATTTTCTTACTTAAAATTAAGTTGATTAGTTAATATAACAATCATTTCATAATGCATATGAGCGAATACATCTAAGTCAGAAGACATTTTTTTATCAAATCCAAAAAATTGATTCTCTTCGACTATCTATAACAAAAAAAAGGTCATTAGATATTTTATTTTGTTTAATTTAAGAATCTTTTGTGGTTTGTACGAACCACTGTTGTAGATTTCAGTGTAATACCACGAAAATTTCTTTTCTCTTCTTGTATTTCGCGCATTGTCAACCGGTTAGACGATGCTGTGCTAATTTCAAACACTCTTATCGCGTCTGATTTACTAGCCCGAAAACCACTCCAAATTTCCCAAACGCTATCATAGGTGTTTAAGAATAAAAATACACTCGCATCCGGTAGAACGTAGGCATTGGCCAAATATATTTTAAATGTTCGCAATGCAAATTGAGCTGAGTTCGTTTCATTCGTGAACGAACTCTGATCAAACAGTACCCAATCATTTTGCGTATTGAACAGGCGTTCATTTGAAATCTTAATTCGTTCACAATAAATAAATAATTTACAATTATATGTATATTGTTATACATAATTAGATTATAAAAATGTGTAACGGCCATAGTAACATAATATTAGTATACATAGTTATGAAAGTTACACTAACATCGAATTTCATGTACGTATATCACACGTGTTCAGAATTTTTTTATATTCGCTATATTAATATTAGGCATCGCCCATTTGCGCCAAATTTACCTGGTATAATTATAATAAAGTAATATATTCTTTCCTCGAATAATCAATACAATTTTATTTAAATTATAGTCAATAGTACGAATTTTTTAAAAATAATAAACAATAAATAATAATACAAATTATTTTAAATAATAGGTAGGTAATAAATAGTTAATAAGTTTATATTTTTTTGAAAATTAAAATCTATCGATAATCATAGTCAATCGTACGATTTTGTTAATATAAAATGTTTACACAGGTAAATTTAGCGCAAATGAGCTGTCGGAAAAAATATACTTTTTTTATTTTAGCGCAAATGGGCTGTATCCAAAATGAATTAATTTTTCATGGCACAATTGGAAAACCCCCTTAATATTAATTGTTGTGTAAAACAATGTTACTAATAATAAAAATTGTATTTAATCACAACTAAACCACATAATAAAATAGTTGAATATTTTTAATTATATTGTATGTTATGATAATGTTTAAACCCCATGGCTTATACGAAAAACGATAAAAGTGTAATTATAGTACCTTTAATCCGAAGAAAATTACCTGTTGTAATGTTTCTGTTGAATTTTGACAGGATAGATCGATTATAAAGGCACATCTGTACCATGTAGAGTGTTGCATTTGTAACATGGGTGAGCTGAACGTCACGGATATGTCGGCCATCGAAAGTTCGTCCAAAAGCTTTTTATTAACATCTGTACCGAAAACATATATTTCGTTAAATTTTATAGTATTTATTTCAATACATATACAATTCTTATATAACGATATTAATTACACTTTTATCAAATAAATTACTGTATCGATATTTGGTATGTATACTTACCAATTGGCCAACATGTATTTGCAGCTGTTACTGTTTGAACATGTCTTTGAACAAAAAATGTTTTTAATATATTTAACATTTCATTATAATTGGTTGAAATAACAGTTTTAAAAATTATAAACATGATAAATATAACAAATTTATCCATTTATTAAACTTTTAAAATGTTCACAAAATTGTATGCTAATGTGTTATATGAGAGTACTGTTTGAAATTAAAGTAAATGTTTTATGACTAATGCAATATAAATAAATTTTATCATATGGAAAAATATAACATAAGTATAATGACTATAATGCAATAACTATTATAAAAGTGCATACATTAATTTTTCATGAAATAAATAGGTACAAATAGGTATGTATAAGTGTATAACAGTCACATTAGTTATTTTACAAAGGAAGTTTAAATTATTAGTTTACCATTATTTTTATTACGTTTGAAACAAGTGAATATCAACCTAATTATTATTTATTAAAAATTAAAGAATAAATATGAAATGAAACCATCGATTATTTTATATAAAATATAAAAAAATACAAAAGTTAAATTGTTTGATCTCAAACAGAATTAAAAGTAAGTAAATATCAGAATATTTATTTAAAAAAGATCAAATATTTTTTTTCCATTTATTGACTTAACTAATTATTAATTTATCAAGATAAATTTATTTATTTTTTTTAATTTAATATTTATATTCTCATTGTGTATCATTTTTGTGCAGCTAAAGTACAAATAAAATAGGTATGAACTATATTTACGTACATTTTTCTATGATAATACTAAATTTACACTGGTAATATTTAAATTGTAATAAATTTTTGGTAAAAATATTAATTTAATTAATACTAAAAATAAATTGTACATGTCTATAATATTACGAGTTGTTTGACAAATAAGTATTGAAGTATAAACTATTACCTATGTACAATAATATACGATTATACCACCTTAGACTCTTGGTTACTTATAATTACTTTTTTGTATCCGAAAAGAAGGAATCAAAAATATTATGATAAAATAATATTAGTTTATAAGTAATGTCTAGTTTATATGATGATATTAATTTATTAGATAGAAAAATTGATTTATAATCTCTCGATGTTTAAATTATTAAAAATTTAGACTAAGAGCTAACTTTCACTTCATTGAGAATTGTTTAAATCTATCAATCAATCTATGACGTCTTTTTTTAAACGATTAATCAATATAGAACAATTTCTTTATATTTATTCCATAAATAATTAACTTAACATGCCGTCAAATATCGATTACGGCAATAGCCAATAAGTAAAAACTAGTTCATATGTAGTTAGTTTATTATATCTATCAGTGATATGATTAAAACCAAGTTTAGGTTTAATAAGATTTCCTTATTTTGGTATACTTAATATTTTTTTGGATACTTGAATAATACTTTCTATCGATAATAGATATTATAATATATTGTAAAATGCGGACTGCGATTATTATTTTGCTATGACATATAATTATGTTATTAATGTTATTATATATTTATGCGTATCATTATTCATTTTTGATGACAGCTAGGTATTTCACAACTAATTTAATTGGTTGTATGTTATTGAATGTATTTCTATCATACAATATTTAATTAAATCTGAAATCCAACGCATTTCATCTTGTAAAACAGCATATCAAGCTGTAATTAATAGTGAATGTATTGATCAGAAACTCGCAAAGCGTTATTATTTGAAAAAAAAAACGATTTGCAGCTACTGTAGTTTTTATTTTTTCTTTATCCTAAATCATGTATAATTATACCGTTCTATAAATAATATAATATCAAATAAAATAGTTTTACCTAATAACTTAATATGTATATCATTTTTTACAATAATTTATTTTTGGTTAAAAACAATTAAGGTGACTGACTAACTACACAAAAAATCTCTTATCGAAGCAATAAACAATAAAATAGTCTTTTTTTTTAAACAATCTGATGTATATAATTTAATTAATTTAATATATACTAAGATTAAAATATTTAATACATAAAAAAATTTTTGAAACACTAAAAATTTAAACAGTAACTGTATTTATTTTATACTCTTAGCATATAGCTAATAAATACTGTACAATTTACATGGATCAAGTATAGAATAACAAATAAAAATATTAATTTTTTTTTCGTTTTAATAGACAATATTTAATAAATCACGATTTTATAACAATTAACAGTGTTTTATACACATAGTTAACGACTAAAATATAATATTATACATAATATATGTAACAACTACATTATTATTTTTTTATTGTTGGCAATAAAAAAATATAATTTATTAGGTACTTACATAATATACACTGAAAATCAGTTTAATTAATCAATTTTAATATTAACATAAATTGGTATGGTCTTATATTTAATTAAATGGATATGATATTTAATTTCTTTGACAATGAAAAACTTTTTATCATTATTATACAAAACAATACAATTAAAGATAAAATGTCTCAATAACGGAAATCACAGAAAAGATAAGTTTAGAAAAATTATTGAATAATCTAGGTATCAAATAAATTCTATAGATAAGTTTTAAAAAAAATGTATAATTTTTTTATTATCATCTCAATTCTTTCATTTGTCTATGAATGTTTTGAACAGAACTTTTTATAAATTTTTATATATTTTAATTTTCTTATGATATATGTGCCTACATGTTTTATTATTTTTTTTAAAAATCAAACATTATTCAAAACTATTAGGACTAGTTACAGAATTATAATGGGAATTAGAAACTATTGGTTATATAAACTAAACGAACTTCGGCTAAAATGTTTAGAGCATCGTAACCAATCCTCTTCTTGACAAGTTAAATGGTTAATTATTGTTTTAGATGGCGTTATAAATTTTACAAAAGTGTAGAAAGATTATTGCACTATAATTCAATGAAGTGGAGTCTATTATTAATGTTTTGTTTTTATTATATTACTTATATTATTATTATTTTAATAAATTTTATTCATAATTAGTAATTATGTATAATGACACGGCGTTTCGTATAGGCTATTTGGCTACAGTTCTGTTGTGAGCTTATTTTTCTGATTTCTTATGGGCCATCGCATAATTTTATTATACCAATATTTTCTTTTAAAATTTAGTATTGAATTTAATTATATAATCTCAGTAAATGAGTAAAAAAAAAAATAATTAATATTCTTTAAGTTGTTTATCCGAGTTATGGATACGAATTTAAAAACGTCTATATACTAAAAATTGACAAGATATTTTTGTTGTTCAATTTCAATGTTTGTTCCTGATATGTATTCAATTTAAAAAAAACTGTTATGTTATGAATGATGAATTTAAAGAATAGCGAATAAAGTAATATTAAACAAAATAAAGGAAAAAAGAGAACTTTCGTGTGACATAAAAGGTAGAAGAGATAAAATGATAGGGTACCTACTACACTATGATACCATATCGAAAAGCGTAATATAAAGTGACATTAAAGTTTATATTGAAAGAAGAAGATTAAAAATTGAGTACATGAAACAAATTATAATAGACATGGCAAAGAATAGCTACACGGAGTTAAAGTAACTGAGTATGATAGAGATGTATGGAGATTTACAGTAAACCAATCAAACAGTTGGAGACATGAATAAAAAGTAAGGTTGTAACAATATTATTATGACGTAATAATATAATAATGTGTTACATTATTAAATTTCATTGTAACTCATAATTTTTTTTTTATTTTTTTTTTATTGATCTGTCCCAGTAACTAAGGCCATTAGCTGTGCATAGGATATGTGTTTTTGTGTAAGGTTTGATTAGTAGGGTTGAAACACGTGGGTGTATGTGTATGTGTGCCATGGATTTTTCACTAAAAACTCGGTTGGTCACCTACCCAAGAGCTAGCGACTCCGTCTGATGCTTGACCTCGGAACACATTAGCGACCGAGGTCAACCACCACCAGGCCACTTACTCATAATCTATTTAATTCATGAATAAAATTGTAAAAAAATGTTGTTATTTAACAAAATAATGATTTACGTTATATTGACATCAAGGGAAATAAATTATGTTTCAAGCTGATTACAATAGTTATTTTTAGAGTCGATTTGAATTATGAGGCTATTGATTTTAAAACAAATTTTAAAAAACTAAGGTGTCTGGACATTCTTAATCTTCTATATAGTAATATAGCTTCACATCAAAAATATAATATGCAATTCTGAGTAAAATGTATAACTGCACGTTGGTATCCATAGTAATTACTAATTAGTAAATAAATCAAATAAACGTGTTATATTAATATTTTTTTGGTGTTACCCAGTGTTACGACAACAATATGAATAACCAACATAATATTTGTGTGACTTTCTTATAGTTATATCACCCTTTTTAGAATTTGAAAACCACTTATATATAGTTATGATTAGTAATTGGGTTGCAATGACATAATATATACACATAACACACATATAAGTACTTCTTTTTGGAAAAAAAATATTTGTTCCTGTTAAAAATGTACTCAGTGATTTATAGCTTAACTGTTTTATTTAGTATATGATTTATAATATAATTTTAAATTAGATAAATTATTTTTCTTTCCTGTAAATTCCTGAGAGTGAAAAATTGAAATGATTAAGAATTAATATATAACATTACTATAATGTATGATATAAATTAAAATTAATTTGTTTATAGATTATATTTTTATACTCATATTATATAAAATATATATTATGTGGGTAAATGAAGTTGTATATTCCATCATAAGACAAATCAACTGTGAATCTATGTCTATATCACGTAGCGTATGTCTAAAACGAAAATAAATGAAAACTCGATGATTTGTCAATTGTCGATAATGTCTTAAATAATACTTCATTTACATATATTAAATATAATTCAACGATTTTAACGTACTCTATTCAATATTTCACTCAAATCTGAATCATAATCGATTTCAATAATAATTATAATTACTTGTAGGCCAACATGTAGCAGTTGGTAATTGTTTGAACGAGTCTTTGGATAAAAAAAATTGATATAACTTTTATAAAATCATTGTGTTCATTTCGAGATGTAAATTGAATGATAAAAATTAAAAATAATATTACTTGTATAATTATAATTTTGGTAATATCGTTATTTGAGTTTTTTATTTTTATTTCAGTGAACTTATAAGTTTATAAACCTTCGTTGTATGTTAGTGGCTTTTATAAGCAAATAATATGCTATTTAACGTTATTATTTGTGAATGTGTTATTTTGATTGATAATATCCACAAAATTAAACTGATATTATAATGGCAAACAACAAAAAGTTATTTTAAGTATTTGTTTTTAAAATATGTTAGGTTAATTCAACATTATTGTTTCTGGTTAATGAAAAATACAATTTATTCGAGGAAATAAACGTTATAATATTCTATTTTAGTTGCAATTTGAATGATACTTATAATACATATTAGTTATCAACTATTAAAATGTATTACCTAGTTTTTGTTGGTGATCGTTAAACTTATGAACGCTCTATTTTAATTATTGTGTTACGTTTTATTTTAGTTAAATTCAAATTACAAAAAATTGTTGTTCAGTTCCCAACTTGATGGTTTCTCGAAACAATTAGAAAACTTATTTCTTCGGTTACAGGTATTAAAAATAAAAACGTGAGCATGTGTGGAGAAAATTTGGAACTTAAGAAAAAATTTGTTATTATCGATAAGCATATTATAGTTGTTATAATTGTATTATATTAGAATAATCTATAATCTATATGCTACCATAAATAATATACCAGATATTGATACTAAAGACTGCATTGTAAATTAAAACCATAAACAACATTATTTCTATTTTAAACGTTAAATTACTTGAAACATATTCAAAATGTTTTTTGTGTTTCATATTGTAAATATTGTAAATTGAAACTGAAAAGATTAGAAATTATTTTGGATCGAAGTCCAATAAACATCTTTGTTAGATTTACAAGAAAAACGTAAATGATGGTTAAACTTATCAAAACAATAAAAAAATAAGAAATAAAAGTAAGCTCTGAAACAATTACAATTGATTTTAAGTATGTTATTATGCTTTCAAAACTAGCTTAAATTAATTAGTTTGTATTATTTGTTTTCTTTTCATTACTGAAGATATCACTCTATTAATTGTGCTAATTGTTAACATGGCAGTTATTGTTGAAAAAAATAATTATTTATTTTACAATACTAAATGTTTTATTATAATATCGAAATTTATGAACACATTTATTAGGTTTAATAATTAATCGATTTTAATGAAATATGTTAATAATAAGTTATACGATTTAATACTATGAAAAAAAAATTAACTTAATTACGTATATTTTGTAACGGTATAAATATAATGTAGGTATTTTACATCAATCAATTATAACAACGAACATTTCAATAATTTAATTCTTAGATTATACTGGTGAACGTAATTCTACACGGATAATAATTGGAAATAATGAACATGATATGAAGTATGTTGTGATACTAATATTGTATTCTTGTACTTAAGAGTCTCTTTTATTATATATAAAACGAAATACACTGAAATATAAATCACTGTGCAGATTTTTGTTTTGGAGAGTGTAAGTGTTGTATGCAATTTCGAAAAACAGAATTATGATCGAAACACATAATCCAAACCCATATATCTGAAGCATGGGATAAATTTCTTTTATAGAAACGCTGACAAACTGATTGGCTCGGTTTGAAGAATCACACATAGGCTTGGCAGGGATCCATCGTCTTATGATTCGATTTTTAAGTCCAACCTCTTGTTGTTGCATTAATCTTAAATGTCATTATTAATAATTATAACATAAAATATTATTATTAACTCATAAGGAGAAATAAAATTAAATATTCAACATAATACATATATGTATAATAGTATATGTGATATATTATTATGTATATGAAATTAATATATAACATTGATAATATTATTTTTGATAACTTACTTTTGTTTTAAAATATCTTTATACCCAGATCTTTTTATAACCGCTAATGCAAGTATTGGCAATTTGAAAAGTTGAATCTCCGATATACCACATTTTTCTTCTTCTCGCCAGAATTGGCTAATCAATTTGTACGCCGATACAACTTCAATCTTGAGACAATGCGATTATGTTAAATTTAGTCAAGTACATCTCAAACCTACTCATTGCTAAAATTTTACGTGACCCAACTAACCAAAAATCCATGAAACTCTGTTCGAATTCTAGCTATTCCTGTAGATGCTTCTGTATACATATCTTTTTCGTGAATTTTCATTTTTTTATCATAAAGTTTTCGTAAAAGTGGATCGTCTGATTCCTAAATTATAAAACTTCACTCATAAAAATACGTAATTAAACATTAATCAAAAGTATAATTTATTAAAATCATCACTTGATTACAAATAACAAGAATATATTACTTTTTAAATATAAAAAATTATTCATTTATAATATTTTTAAATTTTTACTACGACTGAAAATAGGAAAATAAAAAGGTATACCTGCACCAGTTTTATGAATGAGTGATAGGAGGTACATGCAGATAACATATTAGGATTAAATTAAAATAATATTTAAGCTTTTAGATATAATTTGCAATTCAATTAATTTTAGAATATAGTTAAAAATCTATAAATATGATATAATATTATATATACTATATAGTAATAAATATTTTAACATTAAATACTTGAATAATTAATTTTACGATTATGTTTATGGCTTAGGAAAGAATGCGAAGTTTTGGGCCCGTTATAAATACGCCTACCTAGTTCTACTAATATGTTTGTAAAACTTATTACTTACCTATTAATAATAAGTATAATAAGTTATTATACTTACGTCAAAGTATATACGACTGTAGGGAGTTATTTGTGCGCTAAACGTCATCGATGATTCCACCAAATCATTAATGGTTTTTATCGAATTGCTGGGTGACTGGAGTAATGCAACGATACTGGCCGAGTATGACGTGAACAGAAACACCGCAGTCAAAAACAACACGAAAATGGCAACTCTTATAGATCCTGTGTTCAAATTCATTGTGTACCCTGTCAAAAAAAAAACATAATAGAAAGAAAGAAAGAAAAAAACCAATATCTTGTATATAATTATGTCACATTATATTATATTCACTGCGATGTTCTTTCGGTTAGGTTAAATTTGTGACGATAACAGACACATTATAGATATACTCGATTGGGGATCAACTTTATGTTATGTGTAATGATTTTTCAAAATCATAAACAATAATAATATGTATTTGGTTTTGAAAAATAATCTTAACTGGGATTCGACAGTCAAGATAGCGTGCTATTTCCATAGTAGAATAATATATATATGTAAACTGTAAATATAATAATATAAATTTATAAACTGGTAGGTATAAATGGATAAAATAATAATCACTTAATGTCACAACTTCGGGAACAGAAAATTTCATCACTGGAGTAATTCATCATGCAAAATGCATGGACTCCTAATTGATTGTGGTAAATTATAAGAGCAGGGTGTCAGCAAACTAGTTTGTTTTTTCTCTCTAGCCCGCGATTAATAGATAAAACGCATTCATACAAACTAATATTTTCTTAATGTTTTTGTTAATCTTGGAGGTACCTAATATAACCAATTTTAAAAATTATAGAGAATATTTATTTTTAGTGGTACGACATATTAGTATATTGGTTTGTCAAAATATTGTCTCAAAACAATAAAATATTCAGTATTTAAATACATGGATATGTTTTTTTTTTTTTTTTAATTAAATAATAAAAAAATGTAAAATTGATTTGTCTAGTCCTCGAAAATATCGAGCATTATAATTTTTGTATTGCTGATTTTACTATAAGATGATTCAAAAATCAATAAAATTATTTTACACGAATCCATTGTATCTATGTTGTTCGAGGTTTTAAGAGAAAAAACGAATGTTGTGCTGAAATTCTTTTCATTATAGTTATATGTTTATATGGATTGGGCTTATAATATACCTTGTTGACAAATTGCTCCGTGCACGATCGTGACCGAGTCCAAAATGTTTAGCGTCTCTTTTTCGTCCTGGTTGAACTTTCGGGTTGTCCGGGACAAAAACGCGATAAGAATCGTAAACCCAATAAATGTGAAAAGCATCACCATCCATACTTCAAAATTGAACGGTAGAATGCATATGTTGTGGACACTGGATAGTGGCGGTTGTTTGAACAACGCCGCCGGGCTATAAGCAAAATTAATAATAACATAAAATTTTGATACATAAATATAGTATTATGATGCATAGATCACAAGCTAACTGTTTTTACAATGCAATGTATCAGCTTACAGTCTATAGAACGTCCCTACGGTGTAGTCAATTGCAGTCATTCGATCTTTTCTTATGAAGGAACCGATACCACCGAAATCAATTTCTTCTCTTTGTAGTTGACCCGTCAGCCCACTAAACGATCCGTTTCCCAAATTCCAGCCAAAACTATCGATGATACCTAGATCTATTCTATATAAATAAAAAAATTAAAAAGAAATATTAACATTAAAAGGATAATTGCTTTAAAACAATAAATATTCTATAGTACGTATATATTTTGTTAATAATTTTACTCAATCTCTAAAATATTAAAATGTAACACATTTTGATTTTCAAATAGAAAATATTTAAATATTTAGCTGTTACATTTTTACTCCCTTAAACAAATAATAATAATAATAATATATACAATAATTAATAGGTTTAATGTGGTCATTTTAATGGAAATAATTAAGTAAAGTATTATTCAAATAAAGTCATCGATATGAAAAGTTAAGTTTTAATAATTCATAATTAACGCATAATAACTTAAATTCTATAAGCTTAGAGTTAACAGAATTAATAAAAAAAAAAATTAATAAAATAACTTCACTGTTTATTTAGTAATACGTTTTGCTTACTTAAAGTTAAGTTGATCTTGTAGAATCATGTTCAAATCGTAGTGCATCTGAGCGAATATATCTAGATCGGTGTCAGCAAATGGATAAAAACCTTTGAATTTGTTTGGCTCTGAGATCTTACGAGAAATAGTGATAAAATTAGATAAATAATAATACACGTAAAGAGTGTATTGGAACTGATGGGTGTTACAGCATTCGTTTCTGAAATGTCTGAGAAGTGATTTAATCTAAATGTTTATACATCCCTTTGTACCTCCCTTTTTATTATCTATTAACACCCCCCTCCATAACCGTTTATATGAATGTTTTTTTAAACCTACAGTTATATTTTTAAATTCAAAGTATTTATTTTATCTTTTTTTGTTTTAATAATTAACAAGTAAAACAGTCACTATTTATTTTGTAAGAATAATAGCAAAAATTTTATTTATAATCTAAAGCCTTCGAGATAAGATTCTTGAAAAGTATATTAATTAAGATAAATAAATATAATATTTTCAATTTAAAATAGGTAATAGGTCATATTAAAAAAAAAAAAATGAAAATATTTCATAAAGATAATATAAACATAATACTGTCAAAAAAATTTAATAATAATTAATAAGTGACTTTTTACTTTTTTTAAATGTACATAAACTAATAAAATTTGTTTTAGAATAGTATAACGGCTTTTATTTAAAGTTTTACTATAACCGTAATAATAAAAAAAAAAAAATAATAAAATGATGCATGACATTAAAATATATATATATTCTAATAATTTAAAAAAAAAATTAAAAACCTACCAAGTGTAGCGTACACAGATATTTTAATCTTCTTAGTTGAATAATTACTTTGACTCTTTCTTTTTGTATAATATTATGAGTGATATCATAATACTTCATATTACGTTTAAGTTATTCATTTTGATTTGTTTTGGTTCACATGTCTGTGATATTATACGCACCTAAGTAGAAAATGCGATGCAATATCTACTCACCACAGTAGTTGCCTTCAATGTGATACCTCGTAGATTGGATCTGAACGAGATGGAATAATTTTTTTCATAATTAAATTTATCGGTTGTCACTATCCCATATCTGTTCACTTGAATTCTTTCCATTTTACTGACTTTGAAACCCTCCCATATTTCCCACCCATTGGTGATGCCGACAAACAGGAACACATTGGATTCCGGTAAAACGTACGATTCGCTTAAATGCATTTCAAACGTCTTGTGTGCAATCGCCGATGTGTCTTGCTGAAGACTTTCGTTTTGCTGCGAGTTTATTAGTATCCATTCGTTTTGCATATTAAAAAGTCTGTGTTTCGAAGCCTGTGAACACATTAAATATAATATTATTTATGGCTAGGAACAACGCCATTATGATTCGATTACTTTTTTTTTTATGCAATCAATAATGACGTGAATTGATTGCCCTCATCAGTTTATGGTATAATTTTAGAAATATAATTATCGAGCGCATTAAGTCTGAGTAAAGTGATTTTTATTATAACGAGCGTTTGAACGGAAATTAAAAAGTGCAGCGTATAATGTGCATATTAAATTAAATATTGGAGCAAGATATCGATTAATACAATGATGTTTTCATACATCTCAGAATATTAAATTGTTATTTCATGTGTTAAAAACTTGAAAAACACTTATACTATTTAGATACAATATATTATGTAATAAATTCGTCAATGTAATCATTTTAATATTATCGTTGCAATTAACTTCGCCAAAACATCCTGTTTAAAAAGAAAAAAATATAAATAATAAAAAACTTTATACTGACTCCATTGTTTATTGATTCCACTGAATACTGTCTATTAAAAAATATGAATCTATATTCTATTAACTTTTTCGACTACACTGTTCATAAATGGTATTATTTATTTCGAAACATCTGAAACTTAAATTTATAAAAATGGTAGAAACCAGTTTATATTTTAAACTGCATACATATCTTACTAAAATTGTTTATTAAAATAATTAATTTATAACACATATCGTAATGTTGAATTTAATAATGTATACAAATATGTATTAATATCATGTATAATTTATTTAAAATACCTCTATCACGACTTATATAATAATATGGATATATTATACAACGAATTTAGAATATACCTAATTAACATAATTTATTTTAGAAAAATAAAGTTAAGCAACGAATAAACACTGTAAGGTTATAATATTATTAAATTTAAGGCTCTGCAGGATAGATAAGTAATTATTAGGTACGAACTATTAGCTGGAGAAGTCGATACAAAATCAAAGGAAACGATGTACACGACAATAAAATACTGAAATATTCAACATTAATCTCCTCTATTTGTCTTTAAAAAATCCAATAATGAGTAATCAACAGATGCAGATAGTAGTATTCATACAGTGCAATGTAATATAGTTACAATATTAAAATTATATTATATAATAAAACCATACCTTTTGAAACAGAGTGGTCGCAACCTGAGCACAAGATACATCGACCAAAATCCCATATCTATACCAAGTTTCGTGCTCTGGAATCACGGACGGATGAAAATTCACTGATATGTCAGCCGAGGACAATGTCAATAATAGTCTGTTGTTTGCGTCTGAGGAACGTTATTTGTATAATACGTACACGGGCGTAATATTAGTTTTTTTGCAATTCAAATTAATCTTTAAATTTTGTTAAACGACAAAAAAAAAGTTTAAAATTTTTACCTTTGGGCCAACACGTGGTAGCCGTAACAGTTTGAACGTGTTTATGAATAAACACTCTGGTCAACGCATTTATCAAGCCGTCATATTCCGCCGACGTTTTAAATGATGACGCAACAAGATAAAACCACAATGCCACAGAATTTTGCATTTTTAACGATAGGGTATATGTAAAACAAATGAAAAAAATTTAAATCAATTCGGACTCCCAACTCGTCTTACACACATTATTGGTCAAATAATAGTGATAGATTATCTCTAAAATATAAATCGAGTGTTCGAAGAACAGTAAAGTCAAGTCACGAGTTGCATGTTTTAATTTTTTTTTTAGTTCACCTGAAACAAAATATAGGTACGTATGTAGTCGATATTTTATTTAGATATATCTAAATGGGGGGTCAGATAACATATTTATGTTACATATTACATCAAAGGATACGCTTAAAAAAATAACGTTTACGATGTTTTATTAACATAAATATTACATTTTTATTTATTTTATGAATTTTGAATATAATATTACATGGTTTAATATTATTTAGGAATTCTTTGTTGGAATAGTCAATTATCGAACAATTATATCGTTATATAAATATATAATATACAGAGAGATTTGATTTGATTTTTTAATATTATTATTTTTTTTTTTTTTTTATCAATAAGTATTGATACTCGACTCAAAAATATTGCAGGTATCGTTTAAAAAAAATTACTTTAGATATTTTAACTTATTATACGTTATAAATATAATTTATTTATCTACACTATTGAATAAAACCAGTTTAAAAATAAACTAAAAAAGTTGCTGTACGTTAATTATCTAGAATACACCTTAAATTTAACTTCAAACACGTTTGCAATGATAATTATTTCCATAAAATAACAATTATAATTATTATAATAATTTGTTTATCAAGTTAAGATTTAGTTTTATAATATCTACAAATGTATATAAAAAATAGATTATTCAAGTGTTTATTTTTATAAAAATTCAAGCCCAAATTGATTTAAATTTGAATATTATTTCAACAAAATAAATTAGTGATATTAGGGGTGTATTTACAGACTTACAGTTAAAGTCAACCTTTACATTGATTAGCTGAACGAATACACTAATAAATTAATATGTATAGACTAGTTCATAATTTTTTGTTAAATAAATTATTATTTTTTTTTTTTTTTTTCATGATTAATGCCACTAATTTACAAATTTAATTCCAGTAAACTTAATTCAATTTAACTTTTAATTATTAAAACACAAACCAATGATCACTAATATATATTAATGGAAAATTTTACTCTTCATATTGTATAATCCCTAATGTATTCTAGTACCTATCGAGCAAAATATATCATCATTATAAAAATTAAATATTATTTGTAATAAAAATAATATGTATGTTTTGTTAACACTATTATGCTATTATTTAATTAATGGAAATTGCAAAAGATTTCTGTAAGTTGAGTTGCCTATACTGACGGAGTTAAATTAATTAATATAATTTTTGATATAATTTATCTAGTCAAGATAAATATTTAATAAAAAAAAATATCAATGGTTTTGTATTGTTATTAGAAATTAAATTTTTATATCTTACGTAAGATATCATATCATAATATAAAATTAGTATCTCTGTTAGTTTATGATTTATAAGTTATGAAATATAACCAAACAGAAATTTTAATTTTTAAAATTTGTATATAGGTTACTTTTATAAATTATGTATTAATAAATCTAAATGCCTATAAACCAGTTATTTATAATCTATCGTATATATTTAATAATCACTTTGAATCGTTGCATAACCATTTATAAATATTTCCCCTTTGTTATGTATAGGTTTTAGATCTTTACAAATGTTTATAATATAAAAAATGCAAAAAAAAAAAATACACAAGTATAATTTTTTAAGTATTTTAAATTCAAATTTTGAAGAAAAAAAATATAGAAACGTAAAATAATAGATTTTCGTCATCTTATTCTCATTCTAAACATATTATAAAAAATGGTCTTACTGAAATACGAGTTGGTTCGTTGGATGTACTTATGTATCCCCCCCCCTGAATATCAAATATATAAAAACTGTCACTTGTCCTTTTTTGAAGTGAACCCGTTAATATTCTTTAAAAATATGCAAAAATGCTAAAACATGCTCCTAAAAATATTTTATTTTCCACTAAAACACCAAAAATTATAAATTTATTTATTACTAAATAAGGCATTTTAAATTTAATTTTCACAACAAAAAAATTGTGCCTAAACGCCCAAAACTAAAATATTATACGAACTATATAAACGCCAAACGAAAACACATGCGATTCAACAGACGAATAGGCATCAATTGATCGTATTCAAAGAATTCTTTATCGATCGACTATATGTTTTTCATAACACATAAATAATAGGGAAAACACACAGTAGATGATAGAAATTTTATTTAATTAATAATATAATTATTATTTAATATTATAGTTAAAGATAATAATAGATATTTTATTTTTATTTACCATTTTAATCTATTTTTTTTCAATTTCTAGAAAATTAATATTGAACATTGTGTAGTACGTATAAAATATTATTTCCTGTCACATATTGTTATACATTTTATTTTTAACAAGACACGTGAAATATGTTGATACTAATGATACTAAAAACTCAAATATAACAAGATATATGCTTAAAAGGAAAAAAAGTGCTGAATATTCAAAATATGCAACATAAAATCGATTGATTTAAACATCTATTACTATGAAACCAATTTATATATTACTTGACTATGTATTGAATGATTATTGAAAAACATGCAAACTCCAACAAGTCTCTAGTCTTAATTATACATTTTGATGAGAAACAATCGGCCTTGCCGTGTAATCGCGTGCTCGGTACTTGTGGGTGTTAGCGCTCGACGTATAGTTTGGTTTACCGTCTGTGTTTTATTGGACCAAAATTAATGTTAGCCAAAGTACTTCACACGTCTACTGATAAGTTTCGGTTGGCTTAGGTGGTAGACAGTTCACAATTTACTCAACGATCGGCCAGTTTGATCCTGCCGCTCTGTCTGCGTTCAAAAAGATCAGAATTAACATTTTAATAATGAATGCTTTCTGGTTCCCGTCAATTATCCTATACGTGTCGTTATTCAGCGCCGTGCCACATCCGGATGGCCATAGATGACACGAACTTGATCAACTACCGTCATCCGATTCCCCGGGAACTCGAAGTACTGGGTACTCCTGTTACTAATGATTGTAGGTGGCCTATCGTGGGTATTCGGCCACAGTGTCACAGCGTTGAACATCAATTTTTTATGGAAAGTATTCATTTTTCCAAGGCTTTGGTTGGCACACAATCGTCCACCAATATACTACTCAACGTAGTTGCTCGTATTTTAAGAATATCGTCCAGAAATATATTTTTTATTTTTTTAAAAAAAAATTTAAGTATTCTTTTAGCCTTCATAACGTAAAATAAAATTCGGTTTAACCAGATTTATAATATTATGTTTAATTGATATTTATCCCTAGTAGAAAATTAATTTGCAAAAAAATATGGGAAAACGTTTTATTTTACAGTAGATTTGTTGAAAGAAAAGTGTTCGATCATTGTTGGGTAATCCGAACTAAACAGAAACAATACAACGATTTAAAATAATATTGTTTACTATAATTATTTTTTAAACCTTATAAGTGTCAAATAAACCCAAATAAAACATTTTATTCTACATTATATAATAATATTATATACCACCACCGCATTAAAAAAGTAATTTTCAAAGATGATAAATGTTAATTAACGATGACTCGTGGATCGTGGGCCGTGGCTAATATTTTAAATTAAGTCTTTGTAATTCCAAAATTATACGAGAAAATAATGTCAAAATTATTTAAAATTAACACAATTTATATTTATTAGCTATGGTGTTTAGAAGTTTCTTAGTTTTGTAATTTTTTCAAAAAATAATAAATTTCAATTTTACAATTTTGACAATATTTCACAACGAACTTTCGTTGAATATTATACTGTAGTTGTATGAAATATTACAGTACAACTACCCACTCTATCTATCTAAAAAAAAAAAACAACAAAGATATTGGAAGTTAAACTAAACTAAATAAAAATACAACCACCGGAGTAACATATATTACATCATACGTATAATATAAACTATAATGTACTAAAACTATACAGTACACTTGTTCCCGAAAAACATAATATTTTATTTTTTTTTGTTATAAAATACAATCTATAAAACAGTTTACAATAAGCATAAGTGATGTAATTTTTTTTTCTATTATATGGTCGTTGAAGATGCCGCCTATTGGTGGTAGGTACTTCGTAAACATAATATAAAATATAATAAATTTAATGTCGGGTAATATGTTGCTATTTATTGTAAAAATAATATATATGTAGATGTTATTTTATAAATAAATTATAAATCATCATTTATTTAATTATATTTATAATACTGTGATAAACATAAAATATGACGTTCTTACAAATTTTACGTTTTTTAACAGAAAAGTATAGTAATAAATAATATTTTTTCTACTAATAATAACGATAATAGTACCTACTAACTACCTATAGTACATTGAAATAACAATTATTATTTATCATAGCAGATCGTTTTCGTCATCATCGCAACAATATAGTACGATAAATAATTCGTGTAGACGGAAAATCGTGCTGTGGCGTTAAAAAAATGTACCCATTTGATAATAATAAATTATAACAATACGTCTTGTCCCCGAGACCTCTTATGTCATGGATGAAAATTATTATCGTAAATCATATCGC